GTTTAAAAAAAAACGAACCAATATGCAAAACTGTGAAAGTCAAAACATAATTTTGAATGAGACACGCAAAACGCGTCCCGAGGGAGTAAAAACCCCCTAGATCAGCTAGAAAAATAAGGAATAGAACATAAGACGGAAGAAATCCAGAATGTTTGTCTCTAGATATACAGGGTGTAAACGTCATTATTGAAATGGGTAATAGGGGCGGTCAAACAAACAAAAAGGTTCATATGACCCATGGTCCAAAAGTCAATAGATGGCCTTATAGTTTACAACTTTGAGTGCTTTATATCGACCACAATCACCACAATCATACTAATTTTTATAATCTAATCTAAAACGTTTTTAAATCGGGTAATTAGCAAATAAATGGCATTAAGTTTTTCTAAGTTAAGCCAAAATTAGTAGTCAGTAAGTAAGTAAGTTTCATTAAATTAAATATTTAAAACACACATGACAACAGCGCGTCGGTTTTTCATAACTCTTATCGAACCGGGAATCAATCGCAAACGGTAACAGTGGTTAGTATGTTGTTTTGTTTTTGTTCCCTTACGTCGTCGTGTTTATTTACAATCTTTTCGAATCAACAGTTCGCCGACATGTTGTTAGTTTACGGTGAAGCTCGTCAGAATGCAAATCTTGCAGCTCAAGCGACAGATTTCGCCAACGGGAGAACTTAAAGGGATGGTTTATGGGGCTGGTCCAATAACAACTGAAGCACAACTTCGCGAAAAAAATTTTAATGCGGTTGAAATAATAGATGGACTACTTCTAGCACCTAGAGTAAGAAGAAACTGGGTTCGTTGTAATGAAGCTTGTGTGGAAAGTGGAGGACGACATTTTGAACACCTTCTTTAAATACAAAAAAGTGCAGTGTGGGTTTAAAAAGAAAAACAATGTATGTATCAAAATTGTGTTTTTTAATACGTTTAATAAACTTTCACACACCAGGTGAAGCGCTGAGACAGTTAGCGGTGAGACGGTTTTTTTAAATTGTTTGCATGTTACGAGTACATTATCAAATTTTACTTATAGTCGATTTTCTCTAAAAAATGCCGTTTTGACCCCATATGTTATATGAAACTTTTTGTTTCTTTGAACCCCCTCTATCACCCATTTAAGTAATTACTATCATAACGCTTACGTATTTATAAGAGGACCAATCATAAATTCTGAGAAAGAATAACACTGCTCTGGGCTTAAATCTGATAAATTTCTCAATCAAGAAGTTATAAATCTTACTACAGTATATTCAGATAAGAGATAGACCGGATGTAAACAAAAGGTTCGGGTGATTTTCACGCTAACGCCGCCGTCTCGACGTAAAACAGGAGCCCTCATTGGTCAATTCGCAATTAAATGCCTATGCCGAGCGGCAGAGCAGTCGTATCAAGGCAGAGTCACATTCAGGTTCAGACGTGTTACGTATGTCGTGTGCATCATTGCAATTTGATATTTCTTTTGACGTTTTCGTTTGTTATCTTATTAAGTTGTTGAGTTTGTCGTTGTTATTGTTATACCTTGTTATTGATTGTTATTGTTATCAACTGCTTGCGCAAAATGCCCAGTAGTACAGATACTGCCGATGAAGTTGTAAACTCCTGTAGTCCACCTAGGAAACGCTCTAAAAAAAGACACCTGAGTGCAGAAATGAAAGAGGTCATTTCAAATATATATATAAGATCGAGCGCGAGGAGAACGAGGAATCAACCATCAAAGAAATTGTTGTGAAGGTTTCTCACAAAGTTGGGGTGTGTCGCGCATCAGTGTTTAATGTGTTAAGACAATACAAAAAAAATCACACCTTTTCTGAGCCAATGACCAGTAAACATCGCAAAAGTATTGTTAAATCATTGGATGAAGCTGATAAGCATGCGATTAGGAGGAAAGTGCATGAATTCTTCTTTAGGAATGAAATACCTACTATAGATAAAGTACTGCAGGAGGTAAATGGAGATACAACGTTGCCAAATTTCAAACGATCAACTTTCCATGCGTTACTGAAGCATTTAAATTTCAAATGGAAAAAACGGGGTCGTAATAGTTTACTACTGGATAGAGAAGAAATTGTGCTATGGAGGAGGGATTATTTAACAAAAATTGGGAAATATAGAAATCAAAACAGGAAGATTTATTACCTTGATGAAACGTGGGTAAACGCAGGACACACTACAAGTAGAGTATGGGTTGATGATTCTGTAACTTCATCCAGGAGGGCCTTTCTAGATGGACTGTCCACCGGATTAAAAAATCCAGCAGGTAAATACGAGTAATAGACAACAATCGGATGTTTTTCAAACCTTGGGAACAAGGTTCTAAACATTAATTCCAGGTGGCAGATAAAACATATTACAAGTAACAAAACTTTTATAACTTTCGATAAAATGCGTGGATGTTTTATTGTCATTTTCATTTGTTAGAACTTTTTTAAGCCATGTTTTTATGTGTTTTCGATATTTCAATAATTTTTTAATATAATCTTAAAATATGTCGAATATTATAAACTTAAAAAAAGTTACTAAGTTTTATATTGTGTACCGTTCCTAATATTTCTAATCATTTTAATTCATACTTTAAGCTTTATAAAGTTATAATTTGTTAATATTAATATTTGCGCGTATTTCAGGTTCCTGATCATTCATTTTTTAAAGGTTTATAACTTTAAATTAAATTGTGAAGCGCTGAGTAATCATACGACGTTCAATATTCTTTCTTTCAATATGACTAAATAATCCCAATTATAGCAATCTGATACTCATGTCTCAATGTTTTTTCGCTGAATGTGATGAAAACATTTGAAAAAGGTTCGCTTATTGAAATAAATCTACACCAGTTAGTACTTCGATTTCCAGATAAAGGGAAAAGGCTCATTATCTGCCATATTGGCAGTGAGGATGGATTTGTTGTTGACGGTCTGTGGTGCTTTGAGTCTAAGAAAACTGGAGATTACCACGAGGAAATGAATGGCGAATCGTTTGAACAGTGGTTTTCAAAAATTTTACCGAACTTAGAGGAAAACGCAGTAATTGTGTTGGATAATGCGCCTTATCATTCTCGAAGAATGGAGAAGGTCCCAACAACGGCTTCAAGGAAAGTCGATGTTCAAAATTGGCTCCGCTCGAAAAATATCAACTTTGAAGAAGCAATGCTGAAAGTACAATTATTAAGAATTGTCAAGGATCACAAGGCGGAATATCAAAAATACGCCATTGACGAAATGGCAGCAAGTCAAAATAAAACTGTGCTCCGTTTACCTCCATACCATTGCGAGCTCAATCCCATTGAGCTCATATGGGCAGAGGTTAAAAATTATATAGCTAAGCACAATACAACTTTTAAATTTTGTGACCTCAAAGGACTTTTCAAAGAAGCACTAGAATTAATAACAGCGCAAAAATGGGAAAACTGTATTAAGCACGTGAAAGACAAAGTTGAAAAGAGAATGTAGGAACTGGACAATATTTTAGAGGAACAAGTCGAGCCATTCATTATTGACGTTGGTGCTTCAGGCAGTAGCGATGATGAAAGCTCATCAAGCTCATCTTTCCAATAAAAGATGTCGTTCATCAAATTCGGTAAGTTATAAGTGATTATAAAGCTACTGTATTTTTTAATTAATTATTGACATTTTTGAACCCATTTTGGCAAAACCTATTCAAGAATCTACTTACTGACAATGTTCAACCATGCACATTTTTTTTACGTTTTGAACGTTTTAATTTGGTTACATATTTACCTAGAAAAAAAATATACTAATCAATATTCTAAAAGCAATTTTAAGAGATATACGATTATTTTTAATTTAGGCTAATTTAAACGCCATTTTGAGATTATATTCGACTGTATTTCACCAAACATCAGGCGGCATCCGAAGCTGGAAATCGGAGCGAAAATTTTGAAACCCTTATGTATATTTACTTCATTATATATTTCTTACCCCACCCCCACATGATCCTATATCCATCACCAATCGTATACACATCGAATTGTGCTAATTTACTACAAAGTTACGCAAAGCAGCATCTACTATCTAAAATATGTACTGCGTGACTCTTAATACGTCCCTGCCGAATGTTACAGCGTTCGATGATCACGTGGTCTTGTTTATGTCCGGTCTATCTCTTATCTGAATATACTGTAAGATCGTCAGTCCTGTTATGTAAAAAGATAAAAATCATTTCGCTAGTTATGCGTTTTTTGTAATTGCTTTCATTGTCTTATAGACAGACTAAATCAAAGTTAAAGTTAGGATAATTCTGGAAATGGTGAGTTGTCAAAGCAGTATGTACTCTCCTGCAAGAATATTTATGGAAAGAAAGTCTATTTTTCAGGTTTCGTTTTGTTTGACCGATATACACAGTTTGGCACTGACTAGCTGTTTAGGACTACGAAGTATTTTCCTCCACATAAACTCGTCACTACATACAAGGTTGCCGCACTGACTACATTATTCATGCTCGATGTGGTTGACAGGAGAGATGTCTGACTGATCGACGACTCTTCTATAACGGACAGCCTCGGGACTCTTTTGCACCGACGATTTAGTCTCTTCTACCGCTATATCAATGGGCATAGCTCGTCAGAGCTCTCCTCCATGATGCTGCCGCGCTATCTGCTTGCTAGACAGACCCGCTGGACATCGGCATTCCACCCTAAACGTGTCGAATTTCGTACATACAGAACTGGCCGATACGGACGCCCCCTAGGGTATCGAGATTGTAGAACAATCTACCTGAGGACGCTTTCCCAATTGTATTTACCTAAAGCATTTCAAAAATCAGATTAACAAGGTTTCCCTAAGCTCCTACTAGCAGACGCGGTGCCCTGGTATTTAGGCTTCTGCTTACGCAGCTGCTTCAATATAAAAGACGGTAAGAGTTCTCTGTTTGATTGGTAGATAGTCTAAAGCCCTGCGATTATGCCTCATCGGCATGGAAAGCTTTTACACGATATCTGAGTGACCAAGGCATGCGAATCCACTTGGCGGAGGCTGTCGCGTTTTATGCGGCTTTTACAGCCAAAAGCAGCATCTGCAGTGCCGAGCACCTCAGCGGCAGCCTAGATAATTCTCTATAAAATTGGTGTGTGGACAGGGGCCCACCCAGCGCGACCTTATCTTTATGACTCGTAAGGTACCTTCTGAAACAGATAAATTTAATATATATGAGGGTAAAGCGGCAGTCGTCGAAGTCGAAGCACAGCTCGTTTGATTGCCGATCGACCGCTGGACAGTGAACGAGGGCCTTTTTAACTTTTACGATACGACCGACCATCCAAACTACCATTCACACAAAAAATACCTTCGACTCGTACTTGTACACTACACCGATAAAGTTAGATCAAAGTTATTTGTGACTAAATCACAGTCTAGAGGCTGAACTTATTAAAAAGTTTTTGGTGAAGTTTGCTAATGTACTGACATGCTTCCATTATTTTATTCTAAAGCTGTCATAGGACCTAAGGCTCGAAAATACAATCTTAAATATACTCAACTACTTATGAAGGAAATACCAGTACAACGACCAATCGTCAATAACCGAAATTATCCACGTTGAGATGGAGTAATACATCCCTAATACGTGAAAGTGCCTAGGCCAATGTCCAACTGCTGGTACAAAAAATCGTGCGACACTGCTCATTAGCAGAAGATCGAGGCACACCCCCGATAGCACGAAATATTCATTAAATATCTATTTAATATTTTTAATAATATTTTATCTTACTTAAATACTTGTTCTCTTAAACAAATATTTAATAATTATTTGTGATATAATATTTCTATTAAATATTTATTCAATATCTTTTAAATATTTTAAACACAATATTTCTTTTACAATATTCATTAAATATTTACTTTTCAATCAATGGAAAATATTAAATCTCCAATATTTAGAAAATATTCATTAAATATTTTCGGCTCCGGCGCATGTGCGTGTGACCTCAGCGACCAATGGGATAATAGCAAGCCGGCCTGAGGCGACCTATTTGCCGGCATTCATTTTACCTGTGACTTTCACTATGATAGCGTGCTTCCTGTGTACCTCCAAGTGGCTCATTATTTGATAGTTTCTTTTGTAGAAAAGGAAAAAGGGTAAGTTTTTTGATGCTTACAAAGCTTAATTTATCTGACTAGTAAACATTGAGCCGTATTCATGAAACAAAGGATATCCTTGTACTTGCAAATTTTGAAGGAAATCCTCCAGATGGTATTTATAATAATTTGAAGTAAATGCTTTTGCTTTTTGAGTATAAGCATATCCTTCAAAGCTGGCTGCATGGATTAGGTCCTAAAGCCAAAAAAAAAAAATATATCCTTCACAGCAGTGACATAAGTAAAAGGATATTAATAATCTTCACCTTATACTTGGCATAGGACGCATATCCTTCAAAAATTCTGAATGTGGTCAGTAGCAGACTCAACTTCGGAACGAAAGGTGGTCAAACGATGATGGCGGAAATTGTGGATGTTAGGGATGTTAAAACGTACAAACCTCGTTTACCTTCACTTGGTCGTGTCTTCAAAAAGTTATATCGGTTCGACGAAGCAAATGTTCAATGGCTTACGGATAGATTTTTAGTTGTGAATGCCGAAACATGTATTCATAAAAGGAAGATATGTCTATGCTATCTTGGTGACCCTGGATATCAACAAGGTATTGGTCAGGAACTTGGTGTTAGTGAAGCAATGGTATCTCGGACTGTGGATAGAGTTGTGAACAGCATAGTTGCACAGTCGAACGAATGGATCAAGTTTCCAACTATCAACCATGAACCAGGCCAAGCGGGTATGGCAAAGCATGTATAAATTTCCGACAGCAATTGGTGTAATTGATTGTACACATATAGAAATCCTGAAACCAAATCGCCATGGAGATGAGTATATCAACCGAAAAGGGAAACCTACTTTAAATGTGCAAGCCACGTGTGATGCCAGAGAGATGTTCACAAGTGTTGATGTCAGTTGGCCTGGATTAGTGCATGATTCCAGAATATGGAGAAATTCAGAAACTTGAGTATTATAATAAATAGTTTTACTGATTAAAGTGTATTGATGAGTTGTAATAAATTTTATTTTCGTGAACATCATAAGTTACAGGTGGCTTCTGACGCTGCATCATTTCTAATTTCGTTTTATAATACTCTTGTTGTAAAATACTTGTTTGGTACTGCTGTAATAACACTAGACGTTGCAGTTCTTCTGTAGTTAACTCTTTGGTTTCCTCAGTATTTCTCTGTTGCTAATTTTCTTTTTGGTGGCAATGTCTTCTGAATTGGTGGCGCTGCCATACTAACTGTTTGCTCACTGCGCTCGGTATATAGTTTACTTCCCTCTTCTTGAACACTACCAACCTGAATGGCACCTCTAATTTCCAAAATTGTAGGATTACAGTCACCTTCCATAGCTTTCAGCAACTTTCTTTCCCAATCTAACAATTGAATTGCTTTATTACCAGTTGTTTTAGATCTGTTTTCTTCTTCAATCTTGATTTCATGTTGTTGATTTTTAATGATAAGACTTTAGTATCTAAAGGTTCACCGAAATTGATCCGTATTTTTTCAACATCTTCTTCAAGGTATCGTCCTTTCTCATTTTTATTTTTGGAACTTGTGACTTTTGCAAAATAATGGGAGCAATGGCAATTTCATCTGCGATGAACTGCAGGTCGTTGCCATTATTTTCTATAGTTTCCTCATCACTTGAGGATGACATGATTATTAATTTGATAAAAAACTGTATCCAGTAAAAATATGTAAGCTCTGGAGTATAACTGTCAGTGATGCTGAGTGAACGAACTGCCACGTCAACTACAAGCTGGAACAAGTCAGGACATGTCGCTCATGATACAAATACCAGTGAACCTTTTACTTCTTCTTTAAGGATATCCTCGCGAGTATCGGGTAATCATTATGAATATGAAAACAAGGATATGCTTATACCTCTACCTTTTTCAAGACCTTATACTTTTACCTTATGCTTCTCTTTTATGAATACGGCTAAAATTTATCTGCCTAGTAAACATTATTGTGCTAGCTGAGTATAAAGGTATTTACAATACCATAAATAACTAGCCTTGAAGTCTAACAGTTATTTGGTATTGGTGGATTTATCTGAGAATGGATACGAAAATTATGTTCATAACATCCCAATGAAAAGACATATAATCGCATCTTGATCGAGATACATCAAAAATGCTTTTTTTAGATATCTCAACTATTATTATTATTTTTGTCGTAGTACGTTCAAAAATTTTAACTGTCGAAAATACTATACTTTTGCCCCTTGAATTATAATATAAAATGACAAAATATTTATGGCTAGGTTAGCTCCCTTACTAAAAAAGAGTCACATTACAACAAAATCAATAAGTGGTCAATTTTCAAAAACCTCTCCTTTAAAAGTTAGTCAAAGGATCAAGTTGTACCCATGGACATTTTTCATCAAGATACCTAAAATAACATACCAAATTTTCTTAAAAATTAACCAAATCTAGAACTATCATAGGCAGAAAATGTGGGGTCCTTTTAGGTGCATTATAGAGCTGCTTCTCAGTGACCCAATTGAGCTACTCGGAGTAACTCACCATGCTCAGCACCAATATTGTTCCACTGCATTTTATATTCCCATAAATACACTGGAAAGCAGCTTACGTATTCAATAATACATAAATAGTGAGTTTGTATTTTTTCAGAGGAGTGGAATTGCAAGATGCAGAAGAGGCTTAGAATGTTTTTTTTAATAATATTTTTCTAGCAAATTATATCTAGAATGAATTTTATTTATAAACAGTGTTGCCAGAGCGAAGTTTAAAATATCCGTCACACGTATCGCAAAATTCCGCTATATGCCGCTAGTGTCTAAAAATTTAAGGGGGGGGGGGCTTGAAATAAACAACAAATATATTTTTTTATATATTTACTTTTTTTAAACACTGTCTAGAAACCCTACGAAAAATACAAACAGTAACATAATATAATTGCAATTTTTCGTAAAAACATAAAAAGTATACCTCTAAAAAAACAAAACTGTCTTTGGTTTAGAATTAGGAATTAATAAAAAAATAGAAACTATCACAAATATCTTAATATTAATAGAAAAAAAAAACAAAAAATAAGGACAAAGAAGAAGCGGAAACGTGGAAATCCCTACGTTTGCTTATTTTATTCACAGTCAGAATCAGAAATTACTTCTTCTTCAGCTTGTTCTTCCTTATTTACATTATATAAATTCTTTTTATATTTGTTTAAATGATTCTCATTAAAACTATAGGATAAACAGCACTGTTTTTTTGATTCCAAGTCTAATTTAATTGTAAGTAGTGCAGACAAAGTTGATGGTATTATTTTATTTGTTTTTTTGTTTTGTAATCAAGCATATAAGAAAAAGTTCGCTCAACATCAGCGTTTCCATGAGGCAATGCTAAAATGATTAGAGCCAGTTTACCTATATTGCGAAATAAATATTCTTTATTAAAATTTTTGAGGTCGTTTAAAAACGACCAAAATTCAATGACATTACTTTTTGTTTTTAAAATTCCCTCTTTCTCACTATCACTAAAATAAATACATATTTTCTTTAGTTCCAAAATTGCCTTTTCGGTTTCGATATGAAGGGCAAATTTTTTTAAAACGGCGGCATGAAAGGTATCACTTATAATAAGACGATTGTTCATCACATCAACCGGTGAGAGAAATTTTAGTTCTGAAAAGAAGTTGTCTTTGATAGGAAATCTTTTAAGGGACTCTTCTACCGATTTTTGGTAAAATGTGACACATTTTAATTTAAATTGTTCGATTGCCGTGTTATTGCAGTGTTTTATTGCATCCATTGCATGCGAACCAACATTCACTTGTTCAATTGGTAATAAGCAGTGGGGATCATTAGGATTTAGATTATATAATTTCTCATTTTTAAAATATTCTGATCGCATAAAGTTTGTACATAGATGACGGACGAAATCGCTCGCTCTCTATTGATATGATATTGAGCATAACTTTCTCTGATTGAAAGAGAGCATTAAATTGGTTAAAAATGGGCAACACGAATTTAAAAAACATTAAATACGCCTTAACAAATGGATTCTGTAACTCATTAAGTATTACATTTGCTACAGGATTTTTGTCTTCAATGGAAGCTAATCTAAATAGGCTAAGCAAGATGCCCCACTGATCCAAAACTCTATCAACACATTTGGATAAAGCAAGCCACCTTGTCTTACTGGGGCTTAAAATTTTTAATTTTGACTTTTTGAAATATTCCTGTAATTCTTCAAGAACACACTGCCTTTTTGGGCTTCTTGAGAAGTAAGAATATAAGTTTTGTAAAAGAGCTTCAACGTTGCTTGGAATCTTTTCAGCTGCCGCCACCGCCACTAAATCAGCAGGGTGGCAAATACAGCCATTGACAATTATATTAGGATTATCTTTTAAAAGATAAGTTTTGAAAGATTTGTTATTGCCCATCGTAACACTAGCGTTGTCGGAACAGTATTCAACAATATTGGTAATTTTTACTTGATTGGATATAACGCATTTTTTAAAAAGAGGATATAAACCTTTGGCGGTACCTTCATCTGCGTTTATTTTAATTATATCTAATAAATGGGTTTTAATTGAATTTTAATGAGTATACCTTACAAGAATGCATAGTAGTCTTGTATTGCTCAGGTCTGTACTCTCAACCAATAAAATAGAAAATGGTTTATTTTCCAATTCTGAAATTATTTCGTCTTTAATAACAGGAGCCAGCACATTTTTAATTATACTTATGCATTTGGATCTTTTTAATTTAAGTGAGCTAGAGAGATCTGGGTCTTTAAAACATAATTGACTAACTCCTGTTATATGATCAACAGTTCTAAAACTTATATAATGACTTACAACTAAAAGACTATATCTTAAGCAAGCAAATATTTGCCGTTTTTCCAACTCACGTGCTTCCCGAGACTGAAAAGTGCCATCTAACGTTCTTACATTCGAAATTGCTAGTACATTAGTGGCATGCCTTTTTGATTTCGAATGATTCACTAAATCTGATTTTTTAGCACCCATTATTTGATTACAAGCTTTACATTTTGCTTTCAACTTGTCATTTTCAGTAGGTCCCAACAAGCCTTTAAATAACGGATCTTCTAGACATGATGAAGTAAACATTTGTTTTCGTGTCTTTTTCTTAACAGGTTGCTCTGGCTCTTGGTTGTCCTGAGATTCGCAAGTCGAATTATCAGGCTCAGACCTGATTCCACTAGATTCCGCTCTTCTATTTTGTCTGTATTCGGGTTCGGGATGCTCCGAGTCCGACACAGATGCAGTCGAAGTGGATGGTACGGCCCCGTTTGGTTTCACCGTTTGTTTTTTAGAAGGATTTTTATCTAAAAAATCGTTAATGGTCTGCTGTCGCCTTTCCATTATTCCTATTTTCCAGAAGAAAAAGCGTGAAAAACAAATTTCGCGACTAAGATTTATTTCTGGATCAAACTATAATATATTAGATATTTAAGCAGTTTTGTTACTTACCAGTAGATTTAATATTAAAATCTGCAGCAAATGATATATCAATAAAATGATCAACACAAAAATAAGAACACTAATATAAACGAAACTAAACAGTATATACCCAGAGCTGAAAAATACAATACAAAGCGAGAAACCTAATATTATGTCTGCCTGCTGAGACCTGTTAGAAACGATTAGTATTGAAAGCAGTACGTACGCCATCTCTTATTGAAAAAAAAGGCAAGTGGAATAATTCTCTTCTCTGTTCCTAGATGGCTCAAGCGGCACCAAATGCACCAATTTTATTATTAATGTGATAATAAAACAGACTCTAGCCACTGCCTATTTAGGATTTAGATCGTTATTAAAGTTAAAACAGTGAAATAAATATGATAGTTTTGTATGTAATAAATTCCGCTACATTTTGGGCTAATTTGCTCTACCGCCGCTACGCCGCTCTTCTCAAAATAATCCGCTACAAATAGCGGAATTCCGCTACGTATGGCAACACTGTTTATAAACCCAATTTTATACATATAAGCATTCCTTCAGGTTTGGCTAAAATAATCAATGACGAATTTTCTATATACACTGAAAATATGTATCAGAATAATGCTTCAAAATCCATACATATTTACAAAAGATATTAGATATTCCTTCAAAATATAAAATTGATATTTAAAAATCTGTCCTCATATTTTCTAAATATTTGGGAAAAATATCGCAAACATATATGAATTATATATACTACAAATATCTATAATGAATATATAAGAAATATATTTATTAAATATGAGAAAATCTGTTGCTACAGATATTTAACAAATATTTTTTTTAAATATTTAGTAAATATTTTTATTGATATGACATGAAGTAGTAAAAATCAATACTGTTTTATTAGGAAGTGGAGGATAAGTTTGATCTATTTCACAGATCGTAGCTATTACTTAAAACAAAAGAAACATAAGGTCATAAACTATAGACACAAGTAGCATGAGTTTGTCGTATAACAAAATAGATTATTAAATTACCTATGCATAAACAATCGTAACCTGAAAATTATATGACTACCTAAAGACCATGCCTAGAATAAAACAAAATTAGTAACTGAAGCAAATTCTATCCACGTACTATGTCCAACAAACATACCAATCCCAACATCATCGAAAAATCACCAGCTAACAATTTGTATGACGCTCGATCCATCCACGCATACTATTCTCGGCCTTTTTATTAGACAGGATTATTTTAATGTTCCAGCAGATGCCTGGTCGCGGTATAAGGCATCGCTAGAATTTTTTCCATTTTCGGTTATCTGGACAACCTATTATTCCCGCGTAGCATTCTGAACACGCCAGATATGTGAAATGTTGATTTCTACCGGTCCATAACTGACCCGTAATTAAATTGTATGCATTCAATCAGGATTCTGGCTCGGACTGTGGTTGACGTGAATCGAAATTTAATATACACCTTCCGTTATTGATTTAGTTTGTAATTATGAATCCTCTGAAGTTATGTAGCTTTACGTGTTACGTATTGACTAAAAATGTGACGTATTGGGGATGGCGACTATATTTAATAAAGCCCTACGACTTGAACAAGACAAATGTTTTATCTAACACAAACTTATGCTAATTTTTATTAGAGGAGAAGGTAGTATTATGGCCCCACATTTTAATTTTTGCACGTAAAAAACAACCTAATGTTTTCTCGTTGACCTATTTGTGTCATTATAATATTCAATCATTCAAGAGTAAGGGGTCATATAAGTAAAAAATAATAATCAAAAATGTTTCCAGAAAAATATATTTTTGTGACTCTTGCAAACAATCATTTTTTCGAAGTAGGCAGGTAATATGGCCCCGGGGGGCCATATTGCCGAGCAAAATATACTAAGTGACATATAAATCCGAACACCCAGTTTAAATGGTTTTATTTTAATAAAATTTTGTATAAGTGCTTAATGAAGCATAATAAGTAAATGATAAAAATTTCAAAATGATTGCACTGCTTTAAAGCCCTTTGACCTTTAATAATGTGTGGATGCACCCTGATGTGCTACGCATTCTCCAACGCGCCTAGGCATGCTTCTGATCAGGTGGTCAATGTCCTCCTGTGGTATCTCATTCCAGGCAACCACCAACTCCTCTCGAAGTGCTTCTAGAGTCTGAGGAGGACGTTGCAAATTGAGCAATCTCCTACCCATCATATGCCACACGTGCTCAATTGGGGATAAGTCGGGAGATCTTGGTGGCCATGGTAACAATGTAACATCATTATGTTGAAAGAAGTCTATTGTGACTCTTGCAACATGTGGTCGGGCATTATCTTGTTGGAAAGTTGGATCTGCCAGGGTGTCAAGATAGGGTAAAAGATGGGGATCTAGAATTTCGTGAATATAACGCTGCGCGTTCATGTTACCTCTGATGAAGATTAAAGGTGACCTGGAACCATAAGCTATAGCACCCCAAACCATAACTCCAACAGTGTGATGAACATGTCTTTCAACAAAAAACTGTGGATTCCTCCTTTCACCACGTCGCCTTCTAACCCTGGCACGACCATCGTGCATGCCTAAACAAAATCGAGACTAGTCACTAAAGACAATACTGTTCCATTCCTGATCCCAGAGTGACCGTTGTCTGCACCACTCAAGGCGATTACGTCGGTGTTCTCGAGTTAAAGGGAGGACCCAGGGTGGCCGGTATGAAAACAAGCCAAAACTTCTCATTCGTCGGTAAACACTTCGCATGCCAATAGGTCTTCCGTGTTCTGCAAACCATTCATTTGCAATGGACCTGGTAGTGGAGAAACGGTCCCTTAAGGTCAATAATCTTAGGCGGCGATCTTCACGGTCTGTTGTTCTACGGCGGCGTCCAGTGCCCTTGCTCTTTGCGTACGGCCTTCTCGAAGCCATGCCTAACAACACCTAACCACAGTGTCTACACTTCTTTGCACTCTAACTGCAATTGCCCGAAAAGAAAGTCCAGCTTACCGAAGTCCCACTATATGGCCCCTATCAAACTCACTAAGTTGACGAAATCGTACAGGTCTCCGTACTCTAGGCATCGTAACCGATCGTAAAGGATGTCAAGAACCAAAATCCGCCAACGTTGATTCTTTACTGCGGCTGAAATATTCATTTTTAGAGCGTTAGTGAATTAAAAAAAAGCAGTATAAAAACCGGAATGTCCAACTGATAAGGCTGAAAATTTTTTCACTTGTTATTTACAGTAAGTTAAATACATTCACCAACTTTTATTAAAATAAAACCATTTAAACTGGGTGTTCGGATTTATATGTCACTTGGTATATATAGTAGAAACGCGATAAGCTCTCAAAGTTTTATCTACAAAAATCGCATATGTAATATTCTCGTTCGGCTGCAGAGCACTCATTGTGTGCCCACATCGCACAGCTTTGGCACTGGACCCATATTTCGCCCTTTCGGTCATCAGAGAAACGGCGGTCACAACAAATACAAGTTGCATCGTTGTTCTCAGAAACTGCCCCTTGCAAAGATTCATCAACATCGGAATCATCACCACTGCTTGGAAGAACATCTTCATTACTGTCAGAACTGCTGCTTGAACTAGGACTAGAGGCTCTTCTGGGGACTTTTGCAATTGACCTAAAGTTGTAGTTTTTTTAATGGATGCTTCTAATTCCCTTACGTAAGTTGACGTTGTAAGTATAGCTGCCGATGATGTTTTGCGTCTTCGAGTTGAAGTCTTTGTTTTGGGCTTCGGGATAGGTGATATATCATGCAGTAAAACAAAAGATGATTCAGAAGCGCAAGAACCGGGATGATCATTGAGAATCGTGTTTTCTACATGATCATTGATTGTCGAGGGCCCAGGCTGTACATCTGTTGCTAATGGTTCTATCACTGTTGTTATTGCCGATGTGTTATGTGGTGATGTCGATACTGTTGATCGCAGTTGAGGTAGTTCCAGGAAGTCAGCCTCGGTGAATATGTGGCGATTGCATGGATATACACCGGTGATTTTGAAGCCATTTACAGCTATCTCACCTGTTACGCACCTTAAGTAAGCTTTCCCAAATAACTCTGCAATGTCATGTGGCTTTAGAACTCTGTCAGAATGCAACAAAAATTTTCGAATCTCTTCACTGTAGTGAGATTTAAGAGCTCCCATGAATGTGCAGTCAAGAGGCTGGAGCTTGTGCGTTGTGTGGGGGGGCAGGCTAATAATAGTAACATGGTTTTTGCGAGCAAGTTGCAAAACTTCAAGGTTTCGAGTGTGGCTGTAATGTCCATCGAGTATAACAAGTATGGGAGAGTTTTCTGTTGGGTGGGTTTTTTCTAAAAAATGCTCAAACCATTCAGTAAATAAATTGGTTTGAATCCATCCCGAAGGATGTACCCTTCCAGTGCACCAGAGGGAGCTCCTTTCATTAAAACATCTGAAAAATTCTTCCTGGGGAATATCATCATTGGCGGTATGAAAGTGCCTCCAGCGCTCATTGCACTAACTATGGTTATCAACGAACCGCGTTCTGCAGCAGTTAAAGCTCCGATCTGCCTTTTGCCCTTTCGACCCACTACTGCTGGTATTTTTGTTTGTACAATGGTGATGCCTGTTTCATCTACATTGTAGATGCGATCTGCGGGGTATTGGCATTTTATGTATTCGGCTTCCAAAATATCAAAAAACTTATTTATTGCTGCTGGATTGAAACCTTGAACTCGTGCATAAGAGGTTCCCGTAGGTTTTCTGAGAGACAACTGATGTTTGTATCTTTTAAGAAAATGATCTAACCATGCTCGACCTGCTATATCATTTTTAAAAGGATTGGGAATATTGTTTTGAACTGTCAACTGGTAGGCTATTTTTCTGACATCCATTCGAGTTAAGTCATAAAATATTTGCTCCATGTGCAATATATATTCCACTAATTTTTCTTCTAGGTAAGGTGGCAACACAGGCCTTCTACCTAAGGGCTTCTGTACAACTAGCTCTGGCGACAACTCAGTATTATGGACGAGCCTTCTTAGAGTAGTTCTTGGCACACCAAAACTTTTAACTGCCTTTGTAAAACCCATAGACTTAGTCCGTACAGCTTCAACTGCCCTTGTCATCTGATCGGAGCTCCACGGCTTTCTCTTCCTATCCCTCTTTGTAGACATAATTGTTCGGGGCATCTACAACAATTTAAAATAAATTAAGAGCCGAATTTAGCGTTGAGTTTATTTATAAATATATAAAAGTATCCGCAAAAATGTATTTAATATGGCCCCCTGGGCCATAATTCCAGCTTTTATAGGGGGCCGTATTACATACAAGAAAGCTTTCGACACAGTTAATCACAAATTATTATTAGAAGCATTGGAGAGAATTGGTTTCAGAGGAAACGCGTACTCACTGATCGAAAGTTATTTGTCAAATCGCCCACAATCTGTGCAGATATCAGGATCATTTAGTAAAGAAATGTATATTAAGTGTGGTGTCCCACAAGGAACTGTCTTAGGTCCGCTGTTATTCAATATATATTTAAATGATATATTCCAAATTAATTGTGCTGGCAAAATAACTACGTATAGTTTTGCAGATGATACTGCAATATTATATGAAGGCACTGACTGGTCTGATCTGAAAAATGTAATTGAAAATGATTTTATCAAAATTATTCGGTGGTTTAACAGTAGAAAATTAAGCATTAACTACTCTAAAACACATTTTTTACCATTTGGATCTTATGCTAGACATCTGCCAAATTACACAAATTTCTCCTTCAATATTAATGATCAAAAAATGCAAATCAATAGAGTGCCCAACATAAAATACCTTGGAGTGATCTTGGATCCTCACTTACGATGGGACATCCATGTCAATTATATTTTAAAGAAAGTTAGATTTGTGTCCTACAAAATTAAATACCTTGGGAATATATTGACAGAAAAATATCTTTGAACATTATACCATGCACTGATTGAGCCTCATCTCACATATGGTATATTAGCATGGGGAGCTGCATTTTCCTCACATATCTATAATTTAGATGTTTTTCAAAAAAGTATTCTAAAAATGATATTTAAAAAACCGAAACTTTATCCCACTGAAAAATTATACGCAGATGTTCGAATGTATGATATAAGACAGCTCTATTTCTTACACAGTATCACTCACTACCATAAATTTGTAAACACCGACCAAAAAATTAAACATAATCATTATATCAGGTACAAAATTCGTGGCACAGTAGTTCCTCAACCGCATGAATCTATAATGCAGCGATCATATCTCTATTTAGCGCCTAAATTTTATGAAATTATACCTAAAGACTTAAAAGATTTACGTTTCGGAAATTGTTTCAAAAGAAATTTAAAAAAGTGGCTACATTCTATATCTAGGACTGAAATTCATAAACTCATAAATACGAACATCAACTAAATATATAATCTACTGTAGCTAATTTTTGTCCTTTTTTGTCATTTGCATTCTACAGTTTCAACTTAAATTTATTGGTCCATGTACAGGCGATGCCTTCTATTGGGCCTGTTTTGATTTTATATTTATTTACTTATATTTTTTGTTATCTTTGTACATTGGGTGAATAAATATTATTATTATTATTATTATTGTAAACACGTCACCAAAAAAAAAAAAAAATATTCAACGTACCTACCTTCGTAACACAGCTATTATTAGCCCTTTATCTTTGTACAGAACACAATAAATATGTTTCTAAACCAACTGCCTAGACAAAAACGTGTTGAACCGATCACCAACGAAATTATCTACTACGCACGATACCACGGAATTGGCAATACTTGTGTTGTTTACTATAAAAATCATAGATGGCTCTCCGGTTTCTATGAAATTAAAAGGGGGCCAAATTAACAGCAGGGGCTATAATACCACTTTCTCCTCTAGCTTATTATACTACCACTTTCTTTTAGCTACTTACTAATATCATTGATTCGGGTATTCTACCTCTAGATAGCCAATCATATGCTGTGTTGTGGCGCCCAAAAAGGGATCTGAAAGATCCTAACGCCATCTAAGAGACAGTAGCATGAAACAAAAATAAATTTAGGTATCTACTTTGAAAAAACTTAGATAGTTGTTTATATAACTGTCCCATAGACAGCGCTAGGACCTTTTCTGGAGCATCTCTAACGCCTGTCTTATTTGCGTATCTCCAAGCTTTGATTAACCTCTATTCCACTTGAAGATACTGAATTAAAGTATTGTCACGTTACCGCTTTTCACAGGGTAAGTGCCATCCTGCAATAGCCTTTTATCTTTAGACATTGGTTTATTAAACGAATGTGTCAACAGGAGTATTGTTTATTGTTTTAGTTGTCAGGACTGAGCACCTACGGCCTACATTACTCAATTAGTTTTTAATTCTTGCTTCCATTTCTAGACACGTATCCTCGTTCCTAGTTTTTGAGTTTTCATGAACTTATAAACAAGATGGTACATAGGATGTTATGTTAGACTACTTGAAATAATTAAGTGTTATGAATTATTTCGCAACGTATTCCATGCATTAGAGAGTCGCCAAATAGGGATTGAAAACTGAGCGCCATCTATGACACAGTACAAGAACCAAACACCATAAAATTTAGATAAGTAGATGTCTGAATGCGTTTTTATGTTCAGATATTGTCTCATAGATGGCGCTAGATTCTCTTAGATCTCTTTTCGGATGCCGAAATATAAATACGTTGATATACAAATACAATCAACGCTTTACTAGGGAGTGTTTACTTGAGATGAGTAAAATGTCCTCTGTAAAGAGGTAACACTGCTTCAGACGTACAAAAAATAGCTGGATCCATGAAGTCTCATATAACTGTGGCCAATAAACCTAAAAATGATGTCAATACTCAAAATACTTTCGGCTTTTCAAAATTTCTTCTATACGAAAATGTAGTTTGTCGATAAGCTTTTAAACTTTCTAAAACTCAACACTAGCTTTCTCTTAAGTTTGTCTTGAAATGACCAGGAAATCGTAAGGCACTAAGTATAAATGTTTTTTTAAGCATTGATTCTTTCAAAAGTGCTCTGATATGCCTAAAAGTTGTCGATGACCGAAAAACTCAATAAATATAGTCTGGAATGTCTGGCATATTATACTCAATTCGAATATGTTTACGATCATGATGCTCAATTTGGGAAGTAAAATCTATGCTCTTAAACATCGGTACCTAATTTCAGTCTACGGAATTTCGTTAACAATAACGTTCTAGAATACAACTTATTCATGAGATCAGTTATTTTATTGAAAAATAAACGTCAGAAGCTTTAGTTTGGCTAGCCTTGCGAAATAACGAATATTTTGACTGTTTACTCTTTGCTTAGGTCCTCCATTATCAAGCCTTTGCTTGGGAAATACATTTTTAGAATAATTCACAAGTATTCACCATATTTCTTTATTTTGTGAGAGTAAAAGTAGCGTCTTTTAAATGAACTAATTTTTTACGAGCTTCACAAATCTTACGTTTTGTAAGTTGTTTTTATACAATACGAGGGATGTCTTTTAAGTTTTGCATATAGAAACATAGTAGGCCGCGCGGATCGAATGTCAGTACTGAATCTTAACCTCACTCTTTAGTAAACTAAAATTCAAAGTTTCACAACAAATACGTGCAGTGTTCTCACTGCAGTGAATTTTTAAGTGTCACCAAGTGATTAGAAAAATGGAACTCAACCGAAAACGTTTTCGCGCCATAATTTATTACAACTTTCAGAGACGATTATCGCAACAAGAATGCCTTGCTGAGTTACTGTCTGTTTTCAGCAACGAAGCGCCATATCAGTCGACAATTTCCCGTTGGTATGGAGAATTCAGACGTGGACGGGTGAGTCTTAGCGACGATTCCAGGGTGGGTGCACCAAAAACTGCAGTCACCTAGGAAAACGTCGATGCTGTGCGCAAACTCATCAGTGAAGATAGACATCGCGAGATTGAGCCGTACTTGAAGATCTCAAAGACCTCAATTCAAAAAATTTTACATGATGAATTAGGAGTAAGAAAATTAGTTTCTCGTTGGATACCCCACCTGTTGACTGAAGAGCAGAAAGCAGCCAGGTTTAATTGGTGTCAAAAAACGGTTGACAGTTTCAATTCTGGAAACTTTAACACTGTGTACAGGTTTGTTAATGATGGTGAATCGTGGATTTACTGTGATGAAGTAGAAAATAAACGGCAGTCGGCTGTTTGGGTGTTCCAAGGAGAAGAAAAGCCAACAAAAGTCATCCGTTCTTGAAGTGTTTTGAAAAATATGGTCGCGACATTCGTATCAAAAGCAGGTCATATTGCAACAATTCCTCTTAATGAGCAAAGAACTGTTACTGCGGATTAGTTTACCACCATTTGTTTGCCAAAAGTCATCACCGAGCTTAGAAAAATCAACCCCGAAAGAAGAATCATCCTCCACCAAGACAATGCAAGCTCGCACACAGCCCAAAAAACAAGGCAGTATTTAACGGAAGAAAACGTGGAATTATTGGACCATCCTCCATATAGTCCTAATCTAAGTCCTAACGATTTCTTTATTTTCCCTAAAATTAAAAACAGACTGCGTGGTCAAAGGTTCCAGTCACCAGAAGAAGCAGTTGACGCATTCAAAAATGCCGTTTTGGATCTGCCAGCAAACGAGTGGAATAAGTGCTTCGAAAATTCATTCGAGCGCATGCAGATGTCTATTAATCTTCGTAGAGAATACTTCGAAAAACAATAAAGTCATTTAAAACTACCTACCGTGTTGTTTTATTTCCATATGCAAAACTTAAAAGACATCCCTCGTAATACAATTAGTGGTAGCTTGAATTCGTGAATTCTTGCTCAGGACATATGACTTGGTCTAATATTGGTAGCACTACCGCCAATATTTCATATATTTTCAAGAATGGACCTTTCCATTATATATTTTACCAGCCCTGTTGAAATATTACAAGTGGTTTGCTAAACAGCATCACAACTCCCTTTTTCACAGGATTTATAGCGTCGGTTGTGTTTTGTCCCAGCAATAAATATATCAAGCTTATCTCCAACATTGACCAGTTTGATGAAAGGTGGCCCATGTAGACCACCCTAAAGGCGGTTGGTAGTGTTAATGAGGTACCGAGATAGCGGGACTAGCTTCTAGGGCTGTTTTTTCTAGCCATCCACGGATGCTTGGCACAGGTA